ATTTCACTGTCTATTCAGATCTGCTGTGAGTCTATGCAGTGATTTTCAAACTCATGGTTATTTTATTTGTTCAGTTCTAAAATTTCCATTTGGGGGCTAGGGACATAGCTTGGCAGTCTAAGCACCTGCCTGGCAAGCACAAGGACCCAAGTTTGATCACTGGTATTGCATGCCATGCTGGCCTGGAATCCTGTTGTACTATGCCAGCCTCGAAACTGGGTGTGGTGGTCCACACCTGTAATCCCAGTGCTGGGGAGGCTGAGATAGGAGTCCATGAGTCTGAACTACATAGCTAGACCCTGTATCAAACAAACAAACAAACAAACATATTTTAAAAATAAAACAAAAATTCCATTTGTTTTTCTTTATCTCAATTTATTTTCTGAGACTTTCGATTACTTCAATGAGACTTTTTAATTGGTTTCAGGGCTTCTCATAATTTCTCATGTATTTTATGCCTTATCAGCACTGAAGTCTTTGTCAGTAATATTAACATAGTCACTAACTTGTATCTTTTTTAAAATTTCATTTAGGTGTTCTTCCTGGACCTTGGTATAATGGATATCTTTCAGAAAAACCTGAACATTTTTGGTATTACACTATGAAATAATGGATTTTATTTGAAACTTCTATCTGCCTTGCTTTGGTACTATCCCTGCAGAGGTGTGGGGGGCGTCACTTAATTGTGGTGAGGGGCAAAAGTCTGTTTATTTCTTGGTATAGTGAGGGTTCCAACAGCTCACTGGGTCCTACCATAACTTGGAGGAGCATGAGTATTTTGGTTTGCTGCTCCTGATTTTGCCTGAAATGACACCAGTGGGTTGAAATGTAGTCTCATTACAGCTGGACAGTGGTAAAAGTTCTGTGCACTCACCCTTCACTGATAGTGTCCTAGCAATGACGAAGGGAGATGCTGTGTTCTCACTAGGTAAAGGTTCAGAAATCTAAGATCCCCATGTAGTATTCACTGTCCTTAGTGGGATGCAGTAGATGTCCACAATCAGCCAATGTGGATGAATAGCCTACTGCTTTGCCTGCTCAAGTATTGCTCAGCTGGATCTTTATGGCCCATCATTATAGTCTTGTTTTTTTTTTTTTTTTTTTTTTTAATGTATTTGGGACAGGGTCTCACTATGCATCTTGGGCTTGTAGTGATCCTATTTTTAGCCATCCCAGCACTGGGATTTTTTTTTTTTTTTTTTTTTAATGTATTTGGGACAGGGTCTCACTATGCATCTTGGGCTTGTAGTGATCCTATTTTTAGCCATCCCAGCACTGGGATTACAGGAGTGAGCCACCATGCTGTCTCAGTGGCGGGCTCAGCACACTCCAGGGCACGGCCAGTGCTGCATGTAGTGCTGGGGATTGAATCCCAGTCCCTGTGCTTGCCTGAGCAGGTGCCTCATCTGCTGAGCTATGAATCTGCGGGCCTTCATCTTTATAGTCTTCCAAAGGTAGAGGTCTAGGTTTTTGTGTAGCCTGGTCTTGTGTGTGTAGTGATAAGATCATCCTTTTCTCTTACTTGACTAAAGTAGTGGTTATTTTCTAAATGTTTCTGGTCCTGGTAACTGCGCCTTTCTAGGTCATATGGGTAGAGAAAAAAAGCTTTGTGGGTTTGTTTTTCTTTGCCCAGTGGTGCTTCTGGAATCACAATTTTTTCAGCTTGAAGTTTGGGATATGTAAAGCAAAAAAAAAAAATCAAAATTTTGTTTATTTTATATACAAAATTAAAAGTAAAGGGCCTTTTACATGTATTTAAGAGAAATAGAAAATGTACATTTGTCTGCTCCCTTTACCTAGAAAAATGACTTTTAGATGAAAAATTTAATGCATAATTTATTTTATCCAATGCTACTCATATATAGCAATATTGTTAAAACATGATGTGGACTATTTCTTTGTACTGTTTGTTCCCAGTTCATCTTGATGTTTCTTTACATAAATGCGTATGATGAACATTTAAAATTTTGAGTTGATCCTTAAAATTAAGAACCATAAAACAATATTAAATGATATGGTAGAATTTCTGGAGTTGAAAGTCAGGACTAAAAAAAAAAAAAAGAAAGTCAGGACTATATAACTCAAAACCAAAAAGGGAGTAGAAAATAGATCTCTTGATTATGTTCAATGTTCTCACTGGCCGTTGTATTTTTAAATGGCACTAATGAAACAGTTATGTTTTATAACCTGAGACAGAGTGGTCAGAGTACTAATGTAATTATATTTTCTGATTTGAAAAACTAATGATACTCTGACTTTGAAAAGTATAAATATGTCAGATTTAATTAAGAATTTTGCCATTTGGTGTTCAGCAAAATACTAGGGCAATTACAGGGCTCTAGGAGAGGAACTAGCCTGTTTTTCCTTCTCACTAGGAATATTTTTTATAGACTGCCAAACTCCTATCTCCAAAAATCAATTCTTCCAACAATTTCTCAAGCCAGAAATTTACAGATGTTCTTTGAGCTGTCTGTTCCAACAAATATTCCTCTTAAGAAAGTTCAAATTGGCTACCCACTCTTCAGAAATATACATTAGTATCTTCACAATCAGTCTTATATTATAGTCTTACACTACAAAGATCATTCATTCAAGGTCCTTGATAGCTGAATGACAGATTTCATTTCAAATGTTAATTTTTTTCATCTATATTGACAAGACCAGCCTTCTTACTGGTTCCTGTAAATGTTGTAGTCTGTCTTCCTGAGTCTTTGCTCCTACACTACTCTTGGCCTTGTCTTCTCCTCCTTTTCCAGACATTACTGTTCCACATATCCTTCATATTTGGATTAAAAAAATTCTTTCTACAAGACAATTCTTGTCACTTTAACTAGGTTTCTATTAAGAAACATGGTCTTATACATACATACAACTGTATGTTGATATATTATGAACCTAATAGGATTTCAGAGATATGCAATGTCAAAACTAAAGCAATGCAATTCTCTATTAAAATACAAAAATGTGATAATTTTAATCAATGCAGAAAATGGTTATGACATGAATATTACTCTCATAAGAAATTCTTACAAGAAACACAAGAAAATGTGTTTTCTTATTTTTCACAAATAATTAACAAAGCTAGTATCAGATTAAATGGATCAATATTCAAAGTTAACATTTCTACTCCCATTGTACTGACCTATGTTTACAATGTATAAAAAATATGATTGGAAAGGAAAACTAAAATGGTCATTTTTTACAAATAACATGATTATATATACAGAAAATCCAAAATCATCTACAAACAAGCTGTTAGAAATAACTGAGTTTAACAAAGTTGCTAGATAACAGGCCAATATATAAAAATAAACTGTGTGTCTATATACTAGAAATAATGGAAAATAAAAGTTTAAAAACACTATTTCCAATACCACAGTGAGCATTATGTCCTCTCAGTGTCTTCGTAACACTGCCTAAGCTTGTCCCCTACATAGAATGTCTTTCCACTCATCTTCACATACCTGGTCAACCACTACCTTTTAATTTTAAGATCTCTCTCTCTCTCTTCTCTCACATCAGGTTTCACAATGCAATTCAGGCTGTTCTTGAAGTTACTTTGTAGCCCTGGCTGGCCTCAAACTCATGGTGATCCTCCTGCCTTAGCCTCCAGTGCTGGGATCACAGGCATGTATCCCACAGCCAGCTGAGACTTACCACTCTTTAAAGCATTATTTTTCTCCCACCTTCAGTAGCTTTAAAACTTTAATTCATCAACAAATTCTTTCCTTAAGTCCCCCTCACATCAGATTTCAAACATAGAAAAGTGTAGAGCATTTTTATGAAACTATATAACAACTCAGAGACATGCTTTCTCTAAAAATTCTCTAAAGCAGATTTAAACTCATTACCTCATTTTTAAGCATTCAAATATCATGTTCTATGTTTATTGACATCTCACAAATAAGATCTTTTTCTTACCACAGAGAATATGTTAGCAGGTCAAGCTTGTGGGTTTAAGCCATCTTTGAGGTCATAACACATCTTTTATACTGTTGCCACAAGTTTCCTACTAAAAATTTCTAATTGACACCATAAACTTCAGAATGAAAATCAAATTCCTAGGACCGGGGAGATAGCTCAGTAGAATAAGCAATTGTCTGGCAAGCACAAGGGCCCAAGATTAAGCCCTGGTTCCACAAAAAAAAAAAAAAAAAAAAAATTCCTTCATACAGAAAGATCCTTCTGTTACCTAGCCTCTACCTCCTGGTATATGGTATATGAGCTTTACATACCATGCTTATTACTTCTCCCAGATTTTCAAAAAAAAATGTGCCAAGCTATCACCCATCCACCCACATCTTTGCAAATGTGGTTTTGCCTATTTGGAACACTTTTCTCAATCTTGAAAGATTTCAGTTATTCTTCTAAGATGTCAAAAGTATTGTCTCTGGGACAGCACATACGGTCCTTTCAAAATCCTGTCTTCATTCCCTTTGTTTCCTGTGCAAAGCCCCTTGTTCCACTACAGAGTATCATCATAAATTAGACTTATTTTCTCCATGAAAACCAGTACCCACTATTCCTTTTAATTCCTACTTGCCCATCTCTTTCATTTAATATTTGAATATGCCGTTTCTTTCTTCCATACAATTTCTAGTGTCTAGGATATAATCTAGCTCAAATTTAGGCCTAAACACACATTTATAGAGTAAACCAGTTCCAAGGGTAACTTTTGCAGTGTGAAAATTTCCAAAACTATATAAACTGTAAGTGAAAAAAAAAATTTATTCACTAAAGATTCCTTTTTAAACCTTGTCACATGTGTCTTCCTAAACTATCAGGATTTGTTTTACAACCAACTATAAAACTATTTATATCTTTACTTTTGAAGTGATTCTCTAATCAATATGTTTTTAACTAACATTACTATTCAGAGCATCATTATGGTTTTCTACTGAATTTCAATGAAATATTGAGAAAAAAATTAAGAACTGTTTACAAAGTGTGGGAGATACTTGGGTTTTGACAGAACACAAAAGAAGATAACAGATTTTTCTTTCTCCTTTTTAATAAAAGCCATGCAAAAAGTTTGACAATAGGTTAGGAAAAGGTAAACTCCAGACATTGAGGTAGCTTGCAGTTTGTTTTTCTTTTATTTGGTCTGATGCTCTAAAAACACATTTACTTTTAAGATCCATTCTCTTGTCATTAAGTTAGTTCTAATAAATATGCTAGCAACTCATATAATTGTTTTTAGAAATCTAGCAACCCTGAATAATTTTCATGTTTACATTATGCAGATATTGCATAACATTGGAAAAGACAGAAAATCCCATTTTTCATCTTACAAAGGGCCCATACCAATATCTGCAACTATTAAGTGTCTTAGAGTGTTTTAAAAAGTGACTAAACAGGTACAAAATTTTTCATCATAATTACCACATAGACAAGGTTTATCCTTGGAAATTCATGTCTGATAAGGATTAAATTAAAAGCTTCCTCATATTCATTACATTAAAATCAATCTCAACTACCTGTCCTCTGATAAACTTTGGTTTAATGCTTTCACATATGTAAGTCTGCTTTCAAGGAGTCTGATTCAATATGAATTTTATAATGATTAGTAAGGGATGACCTCTGGCTGAAAAGTTTCCCACATGCATTACATTCATAGGGTTTCTCTCCAGTATGGATTCTTTGATGTGCAATAAGTGAGGAGCTCTGTCTAAAAGTTTTCCCACATGTATTACATTTAAAGGGTTTCTCTCCTGTATGAATCCTCTGATGTTGAGTAAGAGCAGCACTTTGGCCAAATGACATTCCACATTCTAGACATCGATAAGGTTTCTCTCCAGTATGAATTCTTTGATGATTACTAAGGGATGAGTTACACCTGAATGTTTTCCCACACTCACTACATTTATAGGGTCTTTCACCAGTATGCATTCTCTGATGTTGAATGAGAGCTGAACTTTGTCTGAAGGCTTTTCCACACACCTTACATTTACAGGGTTTCTCTCCAGTATGAATTCTCTCATGAATAATAAGAGTTGAATGGGAACTTAAGGCTTTGCCACATTCATTACAATTATATAATTTCTCTCCAGTATGAATTATTCGATGTCTGTTGAGTCGTGAGATAGAAGTAAAGCCTTTTCCACATTCATGTAGGTGTACTATAGGGCTTTTCTCCAGTGTGAATTCTTTCATGTTGAATGAGTGATGCACTCTGACTGAAGGCTCTCCCACATTCACTGCATTTGAAAGGCTTCTCTCCAGTGTGAATTCTCTGATGATAACGAAGAGATGAGCTGGACTTAAAGGTGTTACCACACTCGTTACATAAGTAGGACTTCTTTCTGAGATGAAGTCTCTGACCTCCCATAAGGGAGGTGGTACAAGTGGATGGTCTCCTACCTGGATTATATTTATGGGGATTTTCTCGAGCATGGAGTTTTTGATGTATAAAAAGGCCAGATCTTCTACTAAAAGATTTACCACATTCTTTACATCTATAAGATTTCTCCACAGTGTGAGTTCTAAGGTGCTTACAAAGGGATGCACTATGGCTGAAGGCTTTCCCACATTCTTTACATATGTAGGGCTTCTCTCCAGTATGAGTTCTTTGATGTTGAATAAGTGCTGAACTTTGGCTAAAAGCTTTTGAACATTCTCTACACTTAAATAATTTTTCTCCACTATGATTTTTCTCATGTTTACGAAGGGATGAATTGTGAATGAAAGATTTCTCACATGTATGGCATTTATAGCGTTTCTCCGCTGTCTTTAGTTTTGGTTGGTTAAATGAATTTGAATTCTGCTTGAAACTATTTCTTTGAACTTCACACTTTAAAGGTATTTTGTCTCTAGCAATCCTTTGTGTCTTAACAAGCGATTTTAAACTTAAGTTTTGGCCATATTCAAAATTGTTATGGCATTCATCTAAATCAAGGATTTTCATATGGGTTATTGAAATTATTTGCAAAGTTGAATTTTTGTCTTGTTTTTTAAAACTGTCTTCAGATATGCAGCATTTTTCTGATATGAAGTCCCAGGGCTCATCTTTTTTTAGACTCTTTCTTATTATTCCCTGAAGTGATATGTCTTTTATTTGAGTTGTCTTTGTCATTTGAAGACTGCTCTTACATCCTAGGGGAAAAAAAGAAGTTGCTATCATTGACATGATTAGCTGAAACTAAATTTGTAGAAGGCATATTTCTGCTATGTAAATAAGGGTTTGCAATGTGTACAAATACCATGGGAAAAATAGGAATATAACTAATTAAATGATAATGAACAATGGCTGTACTACTGGAGTGAACAAAAGAATAAAACAAGCTTACTTCAGGAGTATAAGTATGACAGGAATGATCAGTGGGATGAAAAGAAGAATTAAATAAGTATGAATTGAGAAATGTAGTTTGGCATCCAACCTAAGACTGATGAATCAATTATCCCGTTTTTCAATTATTTCTATTTTTGAATGTTTTGCCTTTCTTTCCTACATGACAACCTCTTCTACAACCTTCAGATTCATCTCCACGTTACCTTCTCCATGTACTACTTTCTGACTCTGAGATACAAAAATTCATGCCCCTCTGCTTATTATAGCACGTTTACAACATGCAGTTATATTATAGAGCAAACGTTCAGCTCCACTAGAATCTTATGAGCTGTTTTTATTTTTATTTTTCTGTCTTTTTGAGACAAGATGTGTAGTATGGGCTGAACAGTACATCACTCAGATCCTCAGAACAAACTTTGTGATCAGCCCAGGATTGATGCTATCAGGTGCCACTGTTGTCTCCTGAAGCCTCATGTACCCTTCTCCTCACTAGGCACCAGCTTCCCATCCCAGAATCATCACATCTGTCGCTTTCAGTACTGGATTGACTCTGCACATGCTCAAATCCCTGCCCTTCCTGAGGGAGGCCATGGCTGCTGCCTCTCCTTTGCTCTCACAGCACTTTGAATTTCGACTGTCCCTCCTAGAATTTTTCCCTCCATACCCTGAGTGTGCATGGTATCTTCACTCTTCTCTTCTGTAGTGGCCTGCAAGGTCATGAGGACGGGACTCAACCTCACCACATATGAAGGAGACAAGATACACAGCAGAGTGCAAGCCTGAGTCCTCCAGCCTAGAGATTCCCTAACTATACAGCCTATCCCTTATCCTCTAAGGCCACAGTGGAAGCCTTGACTCATTCCCTGCATTGTTCACTTTACCTAAAGCTCAATCAGAGATTCCTCTTTTTTACACACCAGGCAAGCAATGCTTCTGCAGATTCCATCCTCAGATCTGTTCCCTCACCTGGTCAAGGTAGACAATGCCACCTTCACAGTGAGGTGATTCCTGACCTCATCATATTAGGAGTCCCAACATGTCCCTTGCCCTTACACACTTGCCCACCAGTGATCTCCACCAAATACTCAACTCACATTTCAAATGGAAACTATCCTGCACTGAACTCCTCCTGTACCCTTATAAAGCTGGCTCCTCCTTGATATGCAGGACACTGAAGCAGGTGCCTCTGTCCAGGGCTTAGCAGCTTCCAGCCTATGAGACTACAATGGCTCTGGGAGGTGTCCCACCTTTAGTTCTGCGTCACTTTTAAGTTTATCATCCACACTGTTTCAATGGGACCACTTTTACTAACATCAAATCCCATAAGAACTTTATGAACGTACTTCCCCTTAGTGAAAGAGTAAAATATATACAAATAAAGCCCTGGACATTAGATTCATTCCAAAGGTAACTACTGTTAGCAGCTAAGCTGCATCCTCTCAGGCTTACCCAGCTTCCTCCTAAGCTTGCTCTCTGTTCCCACAAGCACACTGCACTGTGTACAGACACACACACAACACTGTTATCAATGTTAGCATCACTCTGAAACTTGCTTCATTCCTCTGTATTTGCTTTTTTTTTTTTTTTTCTTTTTTTTTTTAATTGTGGTGATGGATGCCAGAGTAAGGACATACTATTAGGTTTGTATCTAGTTGTCTACCTAAAGCCTCATGCACTCATGGCGCAGCTTCTAGAGTTGTGATTGATTCTTGATAAAATGCTGGGATTGTGGGTGTGAGTGCCCTGGGGCAGATACTCTGCATTATAATATAAGGAGGGGAGAGAGGCTAACTAGCTGCCTGAGCTGCTGCCACTCCCTTTGCTCTCTTGCTCTTTGCCACTGCCATGAACAGCTCCTCTGTCATGTGTCACTCTGCTTTGGAGCCAGCTGAGTATGGATTGAAACCTCCAATGACGGTGAGCTAAACAAACATGGCCTTCCTTCATTTCCAGTGTTGGGTATTTGTCCCAGCAATGAATGAAGAGTAACTGAGACACATACCATAGTCTTTTCAGCTATTTTATTGAAGGATATTAGTTTCTGAGTTAGATCAAGTTTTCCAAACTTTCAGAATCACATAAAACTCTAAATTCCTCAGTTATTTCCAGTCATCCAAGAGACAGTCCTAGTCTCTTAGAACTGTACTAAAAGCACTGTTCCACTGTGACCCTTACACAGCTTCCTCTTCTCACTTTCTTCTTAAGCTTCTTTTCTTACACCTACCCTGAGCTTCAGCCAAAAGGAAATACTTGCAGTCCCTCAAATGCATGGCTTATATTATACAAAATACATAAAACCAAGGATCTTTTTGGGAACAACAGAGAATAAGATGAGAGATCTCAAGAGATTCATGTGAGAACTGACTACAAGAGAGTGACAGGAAGCACATGCCTAGGCTTGGCCTTCCCTCTTATGAAGGACCCAGAAGCTGAAAAAGTTTCCAGACAACACTCCAAGCTTCACCTGCTTCCTATGAACCCAGGCACCTCAGGCCCAATCACTCACCAATAGCAGGATCTCCAGGGATTTCTTTCTCAACTTTCCAGGGATCTTCTTCTTGCTGCAACAGGGAGATCACTCTTGGTTTGGTAAATAGGAATCCTGTTCATAAGTTAAAAAAAAAAAAAATCATAAAAAAATCTGAGAAACAAAAAAACAAAAACACTAGAGACTTAGGGAAACAGACTGCAGAGAACATATATGAAAGAACACATGTGAAATTATTCACCCCTTGACCCTCTATAGAGAAAGTCTACTGACCCCTATCACAGGCAAATGTAGGTCTAAGATTGAACAAACAAACCCCTGTGCTAAAATGAGCAAGAAACCACAGACAAACTACAATGGGGAAAACACTCTGGGACCATGAGGAAGGCTCCCACAGGCAACCACACAGAGGGGACGGAGGGACCCCAACACCATCTTCTGTCCCTGCGCCCTTCCATTCTGTGCCTGTGAGGGGAGGATGCCTTCAACATGTGTCTGTAGATATGTAATTTATACAATCCTAAGGCAAAACCTGTGTGATATTTTTGATGATCAACAGCTAAAACTCAGGGAAGGAAGCACTGAGACCTCCCCTGACTAAACTAGGTCTCTATAGGGAATTTCCTTACCCAGAGAAGCCAGGTTCCTGTAGTTCTCCAGCATCACATCCCGGTACAAACTCTTCTGCAGAGCATCCAGCTTCCTCCACTCATCCTGAGTAAAGAGCACAGCCACATCCTCGAAGGTCACTGCCACCTGTAAGGACAAACCACTGCAGCTCACTCAGGACAACCCTCAGAGGGAAGGCAGCAGTGGGGGAGGCAAAGTACTGGGCAATGCTGCTGCTGCCACTCAAGGTTCTGAAGGTCTGCGTCCTGGTGAGAAACGGAGCAGCATGAAGGAGGAACCTCCTTGTCCTGCAAAGACCACTGTGTTGAAGTCTCATTCCCAGCCCCAAGGTGCCACTGACAGGAGTGGAACCTTTAGGAGATGGGCTCTAGTGGAAAGGAAGTGATCAGGCACATCCCTCAACGGGGACACTGGGGGGCTGGCTGGTGCCTGTCCCTCTCTCCTTGCTTCCCAGGCAGTCTCTTTACCTTGACAGAGTCTTGTCCCAGAGCAGGCCCAAAGCTACAATGCCAATTGAGGAGGATCAAAATGTCTGAAACCAAAGTCAAAATATTTCTCATAAACTGATTATTTAAGTATTTTATAATAGTATCAGAAAGCTAACTGTCACACTAGCTGTATGTCAATCACTATGAGAGCTGTCTAAAGGGACCTAATCAATCAGTGTTAATGAAAATAGTATTTCTGAAGGATATTACATGATACTTAGTAACATGCTTGGAAATGGGTATACACTTTAATGCACTGGCTAGTGGATATGGCGTGTGTTGAGGACACATCAGAGTACACAAAATTGCATCCACAAGGATACTTATGGGGTTTGTGATTGACAAAAATAAAAGGAAATTTTATTTCCTGGGGTGTGCTGAATACTCACTGCTGAAGACTCCATTAAATAGTGTTAAAGGACTGTCTGGGTGCTTAGTCAAGCTTCAGGATAGTAATTACAAAAATTAGAATGGCTATAGTATAGTACAGGTCAAGTATAATACTGCTCTTGGTATGCTGTGGTCATCGTTAGTGCATAATATATTTAGTATCTACCACAGTCCTATGAAGAAAGATTTATCATTGTCCCCCCCACTGTACATTCTGCACAACCGAGGCCTGTCAGAAAATATCTCCAGATGTTGGAACAATGGCGATTTCACTTGTTTTTCATATATGTTGTGATATTATAAAATGCATATTCAGTCTTCATCCTAATTTCCTAGCATATAACACCCAAAATTCTTAAAATCATCAAAGTGCTAAGCACTCTTTCCATATTAATGAGCTTATTCCTGGATACCATCAGGAGAGGGCCCAAGGGGAAGTTTGCCAATGATTTAAGCAACCACACCTTTGCAGTGAAACCTTGATTAACAACCAGACAGCACTGCCAGCCTCATTGCTGAACACATGGAGGTTCCTAGAGGGAGGAGCAGCCTGAAAGGAACAGGAGCTCCACAGTCATCATCCCATATCTCAGTCTATGTGATTCTTTATCTTTTATAACAGGCAAGTAACAATTGACTATTCGTTACTGGCCCAAACTTGAAAGAGGTGTCTGAAATTAAGGGGCAAACTAACCACACCTGGCATTTACCCTAAAAATTTTAATATAAGCATACATACAATAAGTTAGTGTATTGGCATATGGTGAGCACATGAGAAATGATCTTTGCACTCAAAGAATTTACGATCTAGACAAGGAAAATGCAAAAAATAATCTTAACAACTGAAGAGAGCTGGGCTGGCCAGATAGCTCAGTGGATTAAAGCACCTGATTAGGCAGACATAGGGAGTGGGGTTCAATCCCTGGTATGCCATGCTGGCCTCGCCCCCGGGGTGTGCTGATATTGAGATTGGGCATGGTGGCATGCACCTGTAATCCCAGCACTTGGAAGGCTGAAAAACAGGAAGGATTACTACAAATCCAATCTGTGAAGCGAGACCTAATAGATCCTGTACTAAATACATTAAAAAAAAAATCCTAAACAACTGAAGAAAGCCATGCAGGGAATTGGGCTTTAACTCAGCTGTAGAGTACTTGTGAAGCATGCCGGAAGCCCTATTTTGATCCCCAGCACTCAGGGGAAAACCTGGTACAGCTGGGTGGGCAGGACCATATGCTACCTCCTAGTGTAATCTTCACTACAGACCAAAAAAAAAAAAAAAAAAAAAACCAAAAACAAAAACGGAGATGCAGGCACAACTGTAATCCAGAACTCAGGAGTTTGAGGCAAGATCATTGTTATGAGTTCAGGACCAGCCTCAGGTACAAAGTGAGCTCAAAGCCAGCCTGAACTGCACGGTGAGACCCTGTCTCAGAAATACAAAAAATTTAAACATTAAAAACATTTTTAAATTAATATTTTATGGTACAAAAAATATGTCTGAGTAGAAAAATGAACTCAGTTTCTCCCACTGTACTCTCCTAACACTTCTCATAGCACAGTGTGGAGTTTGTGCTCACCCACCAAGCAACCCATGCTGTAGATGGAGACCCTAGCTCATATCCCCTAATTCAGTTCAGTTCTAACACTGCCTAAAGCCACATACTTTGCTAGGGCAGCAGCAGGACCATAACTGAAACATTCCAACTGTGAACCTGGCTTCCAGTCTGTTCTTTTACTGATCTTAAACTTGCCACTGCCAAGTGTGACACAGCATGGCATGTAGCACTGTGGCATGGGAAGGAGGCACAGACAGAAAGTGTAGTAGGGAATTCTCACAGAGGCATGGAGAGGGTCTATACAGGTGAGTCTGCTTGAATAGAGTGAGAAAACCTTGACGGAAATAGCACTGCCCAGCCAGGAGAGAGCAGGTCCTGACTGCAGTTTCGGATCAAACCCCACCACACTTGTGGGTCCAAAGAAAATGCCAAGGGGCTGGGGATATAGCTCAGTGGCATAAGCAACTGCCTGGCAAGTGCAAGGTCCTAAATTTGATCTCTGGTAACGCCAAAAAAAAAAAAAGACAAAAAAAAAAGACAATGCCAAGATTAGCAAAGTACACTGCTGACATGGTGCAGGGGCTGCCACACTCTCCAAGTTGATCCAGTAGAGGACTGAAGCCTGGACTGAGGGCCAGATCCTCCAAGCCTGATATGGCTTAACTGACTTCTTTGAGCTTGTTTCCTCATATCTATTTAAAATGAGGACACTAACTGCCCTCCTGTATTGAGAATGAGAAATAACAAATGCAAAACCACAACACATTCCTTGGCCTGCTGGGTGGTCAATAAATATAATGGGTTAAATGAAAAGGAGTAGAGAATAAAGGAGTATTTTCTGGCTCCTAGAAACACTGAAAAGCAGTTTCTATCAACATTTAATGTTACAGCATTATTCAGTTGCCACAAACACCACCCAGAAAGCTATTACCACGTGCCAGGTCTGATCCAAACACTCTCTAGGCAGTAACTCAAGTCATTCCCTATCCTATCCTGGGAACTAGGCACAGTTGTTCTTTGTATCTTATAGGTTACATACAATTATCTGCTTCAGCTTACAAACAGCAACAGAGGAGAGGGTTAAAACCCATCCTCTGGCATCAGAACCCACTTCTAAACACTGTACACAGCTTCTCCATCACTGATATCCCATGAAGACCTCTTGTGGCTTCTGCTCAACATGGCTACCCTTTGTTCCCATGCCATCTTGCCTGGATTGGTGCCTCTCTTGTCCCCCAACATAAAGAGGAAAATGGCAGGTCAAAATCAGCTTCACTACTGCTACAGACAAAGCAAATGATCCATAGAGATAAGAGAGAAAAACCCCCAAAACTTTAGGCTGTGGAAGCCAGGGACACTGTGAGAAGTCTCAGGAATAAAAAGAATCATTCTTGCCAAGAACAGAGAGGAACACACGGGTGAATCAAAACAACAGGGCCAGAAAGAAATTTTCTCAGGTGCACAAGTTTGTTCTGTCCCCAGTGGCTTCTGCACTCTCATATTAGAGTGAGATCAGTGAGCAAAGTACCTATCAAGAACAGAGCAAACACTGTACATGGATGAGTGTGGACAGTGTTCCTTACATCACCTGTGAGTGTGGACCAACTTCTCAACGTACAAGGGCTTGGGCTCCAAATCCTGGGGAAGGCTGTTTTGGGCAGAAGACTTCAGCAAAGCAGGAAAGGACAAGTCCCACCCATTAAGAACTGAGATGGCAATACCTCACCTGAGCCCTTGCTTCCTTGTGCTTATCAGCCATGACCTCTCTCTGGGATCTACTCCTTGGATGGTTGTGGTCTTCAGAAGGTAAATCTGAGGGAAGAAAAAGGTATCAGGAGGAAGCCCCTTCCACTTTCCCCTCAGAATCAGCAGCTCTGAAATCCTTCCACCACCCAAGAAAGACCAGACACATCCTGAGAGAGAAGGTGGCAGTGTTCAGAGGCAGAGGCTAGGGCTGAGGCCATCTGGCTCCAGACCCTCACTCTTCTCACCTCAGAACATTCCCAATAGTAAGACTTGGAGATGAAGTACACCAACTGCAGAGCCTCACCACGTGCCAGGCACTGCTTACTGTTTAGTCCCTCAGCTCACTGCCATTACCAGCACCCATTTATAGACTATGAAACTGAGGGCAGCGTGGGGCCACCTGTCCCTGTTCACATAGCCAATGAAGGTGGCACCAGCATCCAACCCAGGAGAGAACCCGAGATCTGTGTTATGAGTCAACTCTGCATAGGAACCAGATCAGCCAGATAGAAATTTGAATAGAGCCTTTTATTTACTGAGCTTAGGTCCTCAGCCACTTCTCTCGCAGGAGAAGGCTGATCGGCCCTGAACATAGGTAGCAAGGGGGTATTTATAACAGGAATCACATCCAGTTTGGTAAGCAAATTTGTTATGTAGTATGGAACAACAGAAACTACATTCATTTGACACAGCTGCAAACTGTTCATAACTAAAAGATCTTTCACAGCTTAGTGATAAGTGCATATTTTTACAAGATACATCTTAAGCTGACTACATTACAGGAGATGGTTGGAGAGGGGGTTTGTGTTAGCTTGCTGCCTTGACAAAAACCAGCTATTATTGAACAACCTTGAGCCAAAAGGGAGAATATATTTCTTAAAGCAGATAACAGGAAGCACAAGGGGTTTTTATAATTTTCCGCAGTTAAGGCACAAAACTCTGTTACATCCTGTGACAATTTTCCTGAACCCCAAACTCTTTTCACCCAATTTTTGTCTCCTGTCAAGGAATCACTTTCCAGAGTTTTGGAGATAAACTTCCAGGAAACGAAAACATGGGTTTTCCCGCTGAGATAGGATAGAAGACATAAAGAGAGAAAAAACAGACAAAGAGAACCAAAAATTTTTAATCGTACTTTAAAAAATAAGCCCAACCTCTGGACACACTCAGTTACCCAAGGTTACAATTCTTTTCCCCTTGAAGCTACTCTAAAGTCCTAGGCGTAAAATACCGAAGGCCGGCCGCGCCTTTCCCTGCGGACAGAGCCCTGCTCGTCC